CTTGGTAGTCTCTCTCTCTCTCTCTCTCTCTCTCTCTCTCTCTCTCTCTCTCAAAAATAAATAAATAAACATTAAAAAAGTGGTTCACTATTTTTTGCATATAGAATCAAATCTGATCCTGATTCCCTTCCCTCAGAATCCAAAGGATTCCATGAGTGCTCTAAGGACTTGGGCCTTTTTTTAAAAAATTTTTAAAATGTTTATTTATTTTTGAAAGAGAGAGTGAATTGGGGATGGACAGAAGAGAGGAAGACTCAGAATCCAAAGCAGTTTCCAGCTTTGGAAACTGTCAGACAGAGCCAGACACGGGGCTCAAACCCACAAACCATGAGATCCTGACCTGAGCTGAAGTTGGATGCTTAACCGACTGAGCCACCCAGGGGCCCCAGGACTTAGATCTTTAATGGTCCCCTTTAATGTGCCTTTTATTCAATTCTGCAACACCCCTTGGAGGCAGCAACTCCATCTCTTCCTGCCATGCAAGTTGGGCTGTATAGGGGGCATTTTCACTAAGGGTAGGACCCCAGCAACCTTTCTTTTCTGATGTCTTAGTCACATCTCCAATGGTGGAAAATAGAGGGTGGTAGTGCGAGGACCTTAACTCCTGCTACACTGATAACTCACAAAGTCTAACTTCACCTCTCTCAACTCTTGAAGAGACTAAGGATTTCCATTAGAGATGTTAACTGCAGCTATCTCTGTCTCCCCAGCTGTCATCTTCCAACAAAAAGATGTTGGTCTTTAACCTCTTCAGCCAGTGTGCTTGGTGTCTTGCCTGCTTTCCAGATCCACATTCAAGCATTCTCCACCCTGCCTTCTGCCCTGGAGACTGGGAGAGTAATAGGTCCCCTGCTTGCTAGCTTCTGGGAGGGTTTTGCCAATGAGGACCTCTGGCAGCAAATGCAAGAAAGATGAAGAATGGGGTCAGGTATTTCTTTCCTTAGCTCCCTCCCTAAAGGGTCAACTGGAGTTGGCTGTGCTTCTTGGCAGAAGGTCAACTCTTTCTCTTAAGGATCTATATAAGTCTCTACCTCTGGATTCTAGACTCCCTCCCTTTCTCCCTTCAGGCCAAGGGGATGGTAATATATCAGCTGCTACTATGCCCTGAGTTACTGCACTATCCCTGTAGGTCCCCTATACCCACAAGTTTGTGAATAGTCCCTTTGTAAATAACACTTTCTCAGGCTATCTTATTCAGAAGATATTTGATTTAGAACATAGAACTCTGAGTGATACAGTCAGTATGATAAAATAATTTATGTATTTTTTGACTACAAATAATTTTCAGTATCTTCTTTCCAAAAATAATATACTTTGTATATGGCATTTACTCATGGATGTCAAAGAACTATATAAATGATCATTTCCACAACATTCCTTAGTAGGAGGATATGAGAGGATAATTTTTAAAAGAATAAAATCATAACTTTCATACAAATATAAAATTGACATGTGTCAAAGATTTTCATTTCATTCATATTTAACTTAGTGAGGAAGAAACCAGTAATATATTACAAGCAGTTCAAAAGAGGGCTCAAATGTCCTGTATGAAGAATTCCAAATAATTTATGCAGATACTCCCCACTTAAAAAGGTGGGCAGTAACACCCTACCCCTTGAGTTTGGGCTATGTTTCATGATTTTCTTTCAAAGAATACATTGTGAAAGGGAGAAGATGGTGTAACAATACTGAAGAAGCTTGGCAAACAACATCTTAGCCAGGTGATCAAGGTTAATATAATCAGCAAAAAGGTATGTTGTCAGCATGTATCCTTGATATGATGAGTAAGAATGCCACTTCACCTCTGTGATCCTCCTTCAAAAACCCATAACCTTGGTCCAATCATGAAAAAAAATATAAAATTCAATATAGGAACATCTTACACTATAGGTAACCAGTATTACTCAAAACTGCCAAGGTCATCAAAAACAAGGAAAATCTGAGAAATAGCCACAGCCTGAAGAAACATCATGACTAAATGTAATGTGGTATCCTGGATGGATTCCAGAAAAAAGGTTTAGTAAAAAGTATGGAGTTTAATTAATGTACCAATGCTAGTCCCTTAGTTGTAACCATAGTCATTTGAGATGTTAATAAAAGGGGAAATTGGGTGAGGGGTATATAAGAATTCTGTACTATTTTTACATCTTTTCTACAAATCTAAACCTATTGTAAAATTTAAAGTTTATTTTCAAAAGAGAGAGAAAACTCAAGGTGCTATACATTTATAGTCAGGTAAGGAATGATGAAATGGATTCACAAGAGGATGCAAAACTGACAAAATCAGTCAATATCGACAGAGTACTTATCAAATTTTACATTTTTATGGACAGGGATGATTTGTTTACTGTTCATGTTTAACAAATTAGCTTCCATCTCTAAAGAGTTGTAAGACAGCCTAAACTAAGGCAAATCTAAAAGAGCCCTATAGGGCCTAAGTAATCCCCTGAAGCTCCAGCATTCCTTTAAAAGGATATCTAGGAATCTCTTCTGCCTATTCAAAATCTTTCACAGTTGTTTTTTTTTTTTCCTACAAGGACTGCAGGTGTCCAGATTATAAAAAGCCTTTACAACAGCCTGGCCTGACTTGACAAAATGGCTAACAGAAGTATACAAACATTCAAAACGTTATACAATGCTTTGCTAAGTTATCACAACACTACAGACTGAAAAATAACCCAAAGATCAAGACAATTTATCAGCCTACCAGGGGGAAACCCTACAAACTGCCAGATATACATCATTGCCTTAGAGTAAAAAGCACTTGGAATATTAAGTTTCCTAGGCAACATACCAGCAAATGGTACAGTAATAAAATAAGAATTTAAAAAAGCAAATTGAACAACAGAACCATCAATATCAAGTTCCAAATTCCACCCCCTACCTGGCTATACAAACTATTCATGTTAAAGATAGACTCAGCATTTAGGTGGGGAACTATCATTTTCCCAGGCCTCATATTTTCATATAGAGGGGCTTCAACCGGATTAACACTCTTGCCCTCTTGGCCTGTTTCTGCCTGTGTAAGAAGAGGCTCCATGACAAAATATATGGTTGCAGTTTGGAGCATTTGCCTTTGGCCTTTTTGTTTTGGGCACTATTTAAATATGTTTGTTTCCTCTTTCCTCACAGTCTTATTGCATATATGGCAAGTGTCTTAAAGCCAGAATCCACATGGATCTTTCAACCTCAGTTTCCCATGCCCACAGAAGAATGACTATCTCTCATAGTAAATTAATAAAGAGATTCTTGAATATGACCTAGTATAAATGCTTGAACACAAGGGAAAATGTGCTGATCATGCCCTATGTGAGAATTTGCACTCTATGCCACAGCAATATTTCTTATTATAAATGAATAAGTAAGTATTCTGGTTCTACTCCAATTCATGTGTATTTTAGCTTAGTGTGAAATAATTTCTCAGAACCTGATCACCTCCCTAACCACTGAAAAAAATAAATCCCTGCATTTCAAGTGACAGGGGTCTAGATTTCTTCCAGCCTCTGCCAGATTAAAACATCTACCTCTTTCAATTGCACTTCCACTGATTAACATACTTTTAGGTAAAGAGGTAAGGGGCTCAGGTAAGAGGCTCATTCTAAAGCCAAATATAGGGAAAACTCTACTTATTTTGAGAACTATGAAACAGGTTACAGTTCCTCTCTCTTTCCTTTCCTCTTTAACATTAAGAAGCTTAGCATCAAAGGATCTTTGAGAAGGAGTTCTCAAATTTTTCATGTTTGTGAAACACTTTTGAATGTTAAAATTTGGGGCAGCCAACTCAAATGAATCAAACAACTTAAGAAACTCTTAATCGATTCTTGTCCCATCTCAGAGGACCTAGAATGCATTCCTACATAACCCACTAACCACACACAGTCCCCTTTCAGCACGACAACAGTTTGAGATCTATTTCCTGTTCAGCCAGTGATTTCTTGTATACTCACAGGCAAAGCTCTCTATGTTCCTATTCACGCACCATCCTTCTCTAGCACCACCTTAATAATGCACTTCATCTTTTACTTCTAACCTCAAAGAAATTGTAAATGTGCTCTGCCTCAATGGAAAGAAAATTCCAAGGTGAAGTAAACATTACTAAGAGAGTCATTCAAAAATAGGGTCAGGAGGATAATGGAGAAGCAAGGCCTGTAGACCTCTGTTTCCTCTGTTTTGGAACACTCTGGACTTCTGGCTTTTGCCATTTGCACCTCCACTACCTTTCAGAACACTTCCTTCTACTTTGGACTGAAATAGAGATGACGTAACATGTATCAGCTAAATAGCCAATTGTTTATTAGTCAGTTTAACTGTCAACACCAAACATAATTCAGTCAAGAAAGTCATATAACCTTACGGGCTTTGCCTTTATAAGCATGTCCTTTACACTTCTGCTCTGTCCCCAGGATTATAATCCCTAAGACCCCAACATTAATGCTTTGGCTGCTTTACAGCCTCTTCTCTTTGATTGACAATGGATATAATTGTTTTACAACAAAAAATAATGTAGCTGTGATAACTTTGCCGCACACTGTACAGTCGCAGCACTCCAGGCAAGGACCATTGTGTTAGTTTTCAATTTCCCTCACTGGGACTAACTGATAAAAGTCTATTTTCCTTCCCCCTAGTGCTTTATGTTTATTCACATTTTACTATTTTATTGCATGTATGTCCTGTCTTCTTGAATTCTTTGTAGAATGAGACTAGATGCTGAAAAAAATTACTAAACTACAGAAAGGAATATTTTAGTGTCTACTCTCTACTGCCCTCTGCAGGTGTAAGGAGAGAATAAGTGAGTCACAACCTGCAGTAGTGTCCAAGAGATTCTCACCTAACAGGAAGGTTGAAACAACTGGTGATTTTTAAAAGGATAACCCTTACCAACCAGACTCCACCTATTCCTAGGAAGTATTTCCCAATTTGCTAAAGTCCCTTCACTGTGGAAAGATCTCTGGGAGCCATATATCCTATTTTCAAGAGAACTTGCTTACTCCCATACTTACAGACAAATCGACATCATAGTCCTCTCTCACTCTGGATCATGGCTAAAGGCCTTTATGTCAGAGTTCCTTAAAGCCCTGTACAACTTGAGTCTGGGAGTGAAGAAAAAAGAGAGTCAATGGTTATAATGACATAAAGGCAAAAACAGTGCAACTTGTCTGTGCTTTGCAGACAAATGTCAACAAATGCAGGAACCCCTGCAATGCAGCAGAAATCATTAGAGTTTTTGCTTTTTGTTTTTGCAAAAAGTGTAAAGCAGGCTTCTTTAGATAACCAGCAAACAGGCTTCAATTTTGTGAAGAAAAGACCACTGATTATGCACGGCTTATTTTCTTCAGTCATACTACTTTATATGGGTAGCAACACTGTCAGTGATGTCATCTACTAAAACAACAGGCCTGAATGTATAGGCATATTGTGCCAACTGAGCCCAAATCAATGACCTGAGTAATGCAATCATGGTAACACTATTATTCCTCATCTAAACCTTGCAAGCCCATAGAAAAATAATGCTAATCTGATGCATGTTCAACAAATACGTTGTGTGGGAAAGAAGATCAAGCCTTTGTTTAATTTTATTTACATTCTAATTTGTACTTACAGGAAACCCCATAAAATTTATCATTATGCGCATTAGAATATGTTGTTTCCTTTTTAAGGTTAAAAAATTTATTAACAATGACACACTTTCTTGGATAAGAATATTTTTAGCGACGGTATTTTCCATAAAATTGAACTCCAAATGTGCATTCACATAGCATACCAACATCTTTCCAAAACTACAGGATCAGAATAGATTTAAAGCATTCCTGATAGAGGAGGTAGCGTTGTTTAAGCGATTAGAATAAGGGAAATTTTGAAAGACATGGCTTGTAGTTCCATCTCTGGTTGTCGTAATTCAATTGATTCATTCTCTTTACCTACCTTTATAATGGGCATAACATTGACTTGAGCAGATATAAAATTTCTCAGTGTTTGAAAATGTAAGCTTTTTGAATTGAAAAACGTTTCTTTAAGTGGTATGTAGGGAAGAGACCCAGTGAGTCTTTTCACATGTTTAAAGTATACACTGTGCGCTTTCTGCAAAGTTGGAAAAGCTCGGCGTAAGACTTAAGGCTTTGTCTTTGAAGGCAGCACATCCGGGTCACCCTAGAGCCAGGCAGAGGCCCCGCCCCACTAGAGGTGGCGCCAGGGGCGATAATGACGTCCCTCCGCCTCGACGCGCCACGTCCTCCCTGCGCGCTGGAGGCGGAGCTTGCGCAGGTCGGTCCCTGAACCTGTTAGATTGGCACGCGGGTTGGAACCATGGCTGATAGCGTCCGGATTCCTCAGGCCCGGGCACTTCTTCAGCAGTGCCTGCACGCTCGCCTGCAAGTACGCCCAGCCGAGGGGGACACCGAGACCCAGTGGGTGGAGGTAACGTCAGCCCCGCCACTTCCGTTACCTTCCGGAGCGCAGGGGCGGTACTTCCCCCGTTGTCGTGGTGATCTGTCCCCGCTCTCTACGTATCCTAGCGTGGGCGGTACGTGGCCCCCGGGACGTGCTGTGGGCGGTGCGACTTCCGCTCAGCCCGCCCATCTTCTCTCGCAGTAGCTTTCCACTCTCCATCTGTCTCCTGGGTTCTGCTCCACGGGCCCTGGAGCCTTCTGCCTTAGACCCTTCGGCCAGCGGAAGGGTGTGTCCCCTGCTCAAGACCGCGAGAATTTGAACATCCTCTCACCTTATGCCTACCTGAGCTCGGTGCACTTGAGGCCTAATTGTCTCAGCTCTCTTCCTTCCAAAGAGCCAGGGCCTTGGCATGTGCTTCGCATTGCTTGGGCTAGTGATGGCTAGTGCTGGTCTGGTTGGAGACTGCAGATTAGATTATTTGCAGATTTTCAAGTGATTTGTGCTCCAGATCCCGTGGAATTCCATCTTATGTTGCCTGAAGCTAGGCCTCAGCATAGAAATGAGATTCCCCATGAAAACAGTTCTTTTTCAAGAATCTTCAAAAATTTGACTTACTTCCAACTAGAAACAAAGATTAATGTTGCGTTGTTATTGAACACAATTCCTCCAAAGAACTTAAACCATTTACACTGATAGGATTTCCTTCTACTTGAATATTTGCCTTTAAAAGATTTATAAGCATAAGTATTCCTATATTTCCCCTTTCCCCATTTCTTTCTCAAAAATTCGTGTTTCTTATTTTTGTTGCCCTCCTCCCCCCCCCCTTTTTTATGAGGTCTTGATTTCTCTTCAATGTTGTGGAATTTTGTTCTTTTTGTATTTGCCAGCCTATCCAAAGAATTGCCTATAGTTATGGCTAACTCATGGGACTATAAATCCGAAACTATTAATCATTTAGATTTCTTCCATCTTTTTTATCTTTTTATTTCTTCATGCCACATCTTATGCAAAATCAGATAGTTGATTGCAGTCTTCCAAACTACCATATGTGTTGATAAACTTTAAAAGCTATTATAGGGGCGCCTGGGTGGCTTAGTCGGTTAAGCGTCCGACTTTCGCTTAGGTCATGATCTCGCGGTTCGTGGGTTCGAGCCCCGCGTCGGGCTCTGTGCTGACTGCCAGCTCAGAGCCTGGAGCCTGTTTCAGTCTGTGACTCCCTCTCTCTCTGACCCTCCCCTGCTCACGCTGTCTCTCTCTCTCTCTCTCTCCTAGAAATAAATAAAACATTAAAAAAAAAAAGCTATTATAAAGCTTTCCTTTCCACTCCCCACACAGTTAAATTGCATGAAGAGCTGACAGGTAATTAGATAGTTAATGTTTTCCTTACACGACCATCGTCTTTTCCTATTCTACGAAAAGTTACAATTTAAAGAAAATATTGTTTTAATTGTCAAAAGATTTGAAGATTAGTGTTCTCAGTTTTATTCATTTAGAACTTTGCTGTTGCAGACTTATATTCTTCCTGAGAGGTGAACTTTTTAAAACTATGTTGAAAATTACCTGTAATTTTCTACATATTTAAAATGTTTTATACCATGGGGTGCTTGGGTGGCTCAGTTGGTTGAGCGTCGGACTTTGACTCAGGTTGTGATCTCGAGGTTCACAAGTTCATGCCCCACGCCAGGCTCTGTGCTGACAGCTCAGAGCCGGGAGCCTGCTTCAGATTCTGTCCCCCCTATCTCCCTCTGCCCCTCCCCCTCTCACATTTCTATCTCTCTCTTTCTCAAAAATAAACACACATTTAGGGGTGCCTGGGTGGCTCAGTTGGTTAAGCATCCAACTTCACTCGGGTCATGATCTCACAGTTCGTGGGTTCAAGCCCTGCATCAGGCTCTGTGCTGACAGCTAGTCAGAGCCTGGAGCCTGTTTCAGATTCTGTATCTCCCTCTCTCTCTCTAACCCTCCCCTCCTCACGCTATCTCTCTCTCTCTCTCTCAGAAATAAATAAAACATTTTTAAAAAATTTTTAAATAAAAAATAAACATTTAAAACATTTTATACCAAAAGAAGCTACAAGAAAAGTGGTTTCTGACTTGAAGAAAGGAATTTGTAGGTCACAACTTAAAATCTATTATTGGAATAAACTAAAATACCTTAATGAGGAGGTAATGTGGTCTCTATTTCTGCATCTAATTAGATACTTAATAGAACAGGTGTCTATTTTTGCATTTTTAATTCTGACATCGGAATTGTCCAAATATGAATATGCCTGAGATTTTGACTGAATGTGCTTGAGATTTTGTCTGGTACTAAAATAATCCCAGTGGAGAGGCCTCTGACAGTGATACAAGTATCTGTATCATTCATCCTGTCAGCTCCTAATTATGGGTGTGCTTTGGAGACCTTTTCTTGTTCCAGCAGCACATTTGCACTTCTTAAGAATTGCTTATTTTCCAGAAAATCAGGTGTGAGTGCAAAGCTGCATTTATGTTTATATAGAAGGCTATTTAGATAACATATAGAGCCTATAAAATACAGTTGAACTTAAATGCAAACAACAGAAAAATTGAGTTCCTTTCATGTACAAAATAATCTGTAAAGTCCTTTTGGAATTAAAATGTATAATAAATTGTGCTTCAGCCCATAAATTTATTTTTACATACTCATTTAATAAACATTTATATAGCTCTTACTATGAACTAGACACTTTTAAGCACCTTACAAATATTAATTAATTTAGTCTTTATAATAGCTCTTGGACTCAACAAGGTTAAACTACAAAATAAACAATTTGATGATTCAGCAGCAAAATCAGGATCATTTATCAATTCTCTTTTCTGTATATATTCTATAAGATCTAATAAAGAAATATCCAAGTCTTTATATAAAATGAAATTTTTAATATTCCTGATAACAGGACTTAATATCAGAAATACAGTTCCCAATGCTTAATCACTATGTTGATTTAAAGCATTAGCAATAACAAGAAATAATTGGACAGTTTCTTGGAGTTTAATGAAGTAGATTGAGAGCGTCAGTTTTATTATCTGCAAGTAAATGGATTAAGAGGAATAAAGAGCAATGATGTCAAAAGATATCAGTCATGCTGTTTATACATCAGCCATATCTAATATAATGTGAATTCATTTGGTGTTGAATAAATGGGGCCCTGCAAACTAAACATTTCTGAGTGTCAACCTTAAGGGACAAGAGACTAGGTCATAGTCATAATGACTTTGATCAGCTGTAAATGTTTGAGGGTACAACTTGTGGTCTTCACTGCTCTTGGATATATTTTTTAAACTTAATTTTTGAAAGAAACTATAATTGAGGTAATTGAATATTGGAAAAGATTTTGTTGTATCACATATTTAAGTAATCAAATATGTTGTCAAAACTTATTTCTCTTTCGTTGGGTTTAATCTCTGTATAGCAGTTTTGAAATTTTATTTGTTTACCTCTGTATCTCTATGTAGAAGTTTTTTTTCTTTATTTTTAATTATTTTTTGTAATGTTTTATTTATTTCTGAGAGAGAGAGAGAGAGAGAGAGAGCAGGGGAAGGAGGGTCAGAGAGAGAGAGAGACACAGAATCTGAAGCAGGCTCCAGGCTCTGAGCTAGCTGTCAGCACAGAGCACAAACTGTGAGATCATGACCTGAGTGAAGCCGGACGCTTAACCAACTGAGCCACCCAGGCTCCCCTCGAAGTTTTTTTCTATTCTAAGTTTTCTCTGCTGATTTCTTACAGGTTCAGAGAGGATTAGTCATCTACGTGTGTTTTTTCAAGGGAGCTGATAAAGAACTTCTTCCAAAAATGGGTACGTATTTGATGTTTGTTTTTTGAGTGAAAATGAATAGTGATAAATGAACCAGAAGGGACAAAAAGCACAGTCTTAAATTACACTGGTAAATTATAAGTGAGTTGACTCTTTGGTTGTTGGCTTTTGCTATTTTTGCCTTTTCCAAAGTTTAAAGTAAGAAAGTGTGGTGGAATTCTTTTAAAATATCGACATCATTTATAGATTGGTTTAGAAGAGTGTACACATACAGGGGCGCCTGGGTGGCTTAGTCGGTTAAGCGTCCGACTTTCGCTTAGGTCAGATCTCGCGGTTCGTGGGTTCGAGCCCCGCGTCGGGCTTTGTGCTGACTGCCAGCTCAGAGCCTGGAGCCTGTTTCAGTCTGTGACTCACTCTCTCTCTGACCCTCCCCTGCTCACGCTGTCTCTCTCTCTCTCTCTCTCCTAGAAATAAATAAAAAATTAAAAAAAAAAAAAAAAAAAGAGGAGTGTACACATACAAACACATACACACACACAGACAATAAACTTGAGATTCAGCAGGGGTACAAAAACTTGTTAAAGGCAGGGTGGCCACCTAGGAAGAAGCAGATGCTTATTTCCACTATAGTTTCATTTTCTCCCACAGTTCCTGACAGGGGCACATGGGTGACACTGTATGTGTAAGATGTGGTTCCCATCAAATCTGGACAGCTAAGGCTTGCATCATTCTTATGGAAACTTTTAAATTAACTATATATACACTTTTTTTTATAAGATATGTATATAAATGTATAAGTTCTCCTGATCTTGAACAAAGCTCAGTGTCATCACAACCATACCTCCTCCAGGGATAGAAAAGCACGGTCAGTGTTCAGGTATCTCTGGCCAGGTATTTACCTGCCTGCAGTTTTCCAATGTCCCAGGTAGCCGATAGCACTGGACATTCCTTGTGATAATTACATAGGTTCAGATACACCACACAAATACTATCTTAAGAAAGTATTTAATAAAATAATAACATACCCAAAATACCCTGAACTAATGAAGCTAACTAATGAAGGTTGGGGATAGGTTATATTCTCTTCATTAGTAAAGGACAGCACCCATTTTGGATTAATAAGAAATATAAAGTATACAAATGGGTGGTTGCAGCATGCAGAAATTAACATGGAAGAGCTTCAAGTGGTGCAACTCAAGAGTAAATAGCCCAATGAGGAACAGCTTAGGCAAAAGGCTGAAAGCTCCCAGAGGTAATTTTATACAGAGACATCCAACATGTTTGACAACTTTGTCAGAGGATGAAAACTAGAGTTAAGGTGAGGATGGAAAGCCAATAACTGATAGTTTGAAATTTCAGTCTGGAAGATAATAGGGAACTTTGAAGGGGTTAAAGAGAAAATGCAGGGTCCCTGGCTGACTCAGTGGAGCCTGCAACTCTTGATCTCGGGGTGGTGAGTTCATGGCCCATGCTGGATGTAGAGATTACCTTAAAAAAAAGAGAGAGAAAATGCATTGAGGGCTCCTGTTACAGAATAACTGGCTGGGACCTATTACATGGGTACTGGACATTCTGTCCATTTTCCTAAGTTAGTATTTTGCCTTGAATTAAATCTTTATCAACTATAAAACGTATAGTAGAAATATACAAAAACAGGAAGAGAATTTGTCATTGTGACTTAAGATTGACTCCTAAAGTTATTTTATACTTTCTTAAGTGATTCTTTTTTTTTTTTTTTTTAAATGTTTTTTTTTTTTTTTTTTATTTCTNCATGGGAGGGTCAGAGAGAGAGGGAATCACAGACTCTGAAACAGGCTCCAGGCTCTGAGCTGGCAGTCAGCACAGAGCCCGACGCGGGGCTCGAATCCACAAACCGCGAGATCATGACCTGGGCGAAAGTCGGACGCTCAACCGACTAAGCCACCCGGGCGCCCCTTCTTAAGTGATTCTTAATCATAATAAGATGCAATGAACTAACCAAATCAAAGCACATTTTGGGTTTTTGTGGGTTTTTTTTTAAGGTTTTTTTTTTTTTAATGTTTTATTTATTTCTGAGAGAGAGAGAGAGACAGCCTGAGCAGGGGAGGGTCAGAGAGAGAGGGAGATACAGAATCCGAAACAGGCTCCAGGCTCTGAGCTAGGTGTCAGCACAGAGCCCAATACAGGGCTCGAACCCACGAACCGTGAGATCGTGACCTGAGCCGAAGACGGACACTTAACCGACAGAGCCACCCAGGCGCCCCTTTTTGTGGTTTCTTAAAAATATGTTTATTTTTGAGAGAGAAAGAGAGTATGCACACAAGCAGGGGAGGGGTATGGTGGGGGACAGAAAGAGGATCTGAAGCTGGTTCTGTGCTGACAGCAGCAAGCCTGATGCAGAACTTGAACCCACGGACTATGAGATCATGACCTGAGCCAAAGTTGGACACTTAACCAACTGAGCCACCCAGAGGACCCACATTCTGTTTTATAGTAAGTAAATCTTGTGTGCTTCCATATACATCTGAGTTCACTCTGAATACATGCATAAGGTGGTGGTAAATTAAAAGCAGTGAGGAAGGTCCACCTTAACTCTTCTAGTGGATAGTCTAAAACAAAACCTCATATATCATGATTCGCAGTAAAGAACTGTGAATCTAAGAATCACATTCTGCTTGTGTGAGTTACGAGCAAAAAGAGTCCATCTGTTATTGATAGCATTAGCTTGTACTTCCCTCTATTCCAGGAGGCAAAGTAAGCCAATGTGATGGGATTCTCTTAAACCTCGCCTCATACTTATTACATGGATTCAGATCTTTCTAATCTGAAAGATGTACCGTTGGGAACATAACCAGTTATATCCATAAAGTCTGAAATAACGTGGGTAACATAGAGATGTGCAGAATCTTTCTCAGTTCATCTTCAGTATAATTGAACTGAGATCCAGGGACCTGTCAAAGATTAACTTCCCATATATATCATTGGAGATCCTTGATTGATAACCTGTCTTAGGATCTTTGAGTTTCCAACATGCTATTAATTCGTTGTCTCATTTTTATTCTATGTACTGACATTTGTACTTGCATTATAATTACTTCTACATACTGATATTTGTATACCAACAGCATTAATTGAATTCTTAGTTATAGTCAGTAGAGGGAGGTATGTGGAAGTATAATAAATCGTACTTACCTCTGGCCTATTATTCCAAAATTGTCTACTTAGTCTTTCACTAGCCTGAGGCCTGGATAGCTGGATAGAGATCTCCCTTGGAGTGAAGTACTCTGGAGAGTTACAGTTTCCTTAGAAGCAATCAATAATGACCGCTGACCATATAGTAAAGTCCTATTCATAATAGAGAAAATTAGATGCATTTTAAAATAGATGTTAGTTGGGGTACCTGGGTGGCTCATTTGGTTAAGTGTCCGACTTCAGGGCATGATCTCGCGGTTTGTGGGTTCAAGCCCCACATCGGGTTATGTGCTGGCAGCTCAAAGCCTGGAGCCTGTTTCAGATTCTGTGTCTCCCTCTCTCTCTGCCCCTCCCCCCCTCATACTCTGTCTCTCTCTGTCTCAAAAATAAATAAAAACTATTAAAATTTTTTTAAATAAAAGAATAAAAGAGATGTTAGTTGAAAATTGATAGTGCTTAATGCACAGCTTAGGAATTCATTTGGGTATTCATCTTGGCAGGATTCTACCAGGTTAATTCCCTAATTTGTAGAGTGAGGCAATGATAATTGAATCCTTACTAATATTTACTACAAACTCTCTAATACTTGAAACTGTGGATAGCCTCTAGAAAGCATACCTTTTCAAGCCTAATTACTGGGCAGGAGTGTGAGATGTATAATTTATTTTACCGTTCATTGTTTCTTTCACCATTATCCTCTGAGGAATACTCTTTATTTTTAAACATTGATTTTTTTGAGAGAGAACAAGTAGGGAAGAGGCAGAGAGAGGGGGAGTCAGAATCCCAAGCAGGCTCCTCAAGGTCAACGCAGAGCCTGATGTGGTACTCAAACTCACAAACTGTGAGATCATGACCTGAGCTGAAATGAAGAGTCAGAGGCCCAACCAATTGAGCCACCCATGCACCCCAGGAATATTCTTTATAAGCAGAAGTTATTTATACCCTTTACAGAGTCAAGAATATCCTAAGGCTATTTATATTAGGCATTTATTTTGTTTATTGTTTTGAGAATGGCAAATGTTGCGATGAAAAGGTTTTCTAAGTTTAGATTTTTAGCTACTTATATATATTTATGATTTTTTGGTCAGTTCTTATTAGCTATAAGAAGATTATAGTTTCATAAATGCCATAAAATAATACCATGTTTTCTTGTGTATGCGTGAACATAATGCCAATATACCTTTTGATTTACTTTTTCAATTGTGACAGCGAATTTTTGATGATTCTTGCCTTCACCTTTATCCAGGGGTTACATTCGTCAAATGATCAGACATGGAAATAGTGCCTTTGAAGTTATGAAACTACAATATTATCTGGTTTATAATGAGAATAAACTAGAACCTTTGTTTCAGCTTAGAACTCTAAGCAATTAAGTTACACTAAGATTTCTATTTAATATTATTTGTGGTAAAGCAGAATTTTGTGTGAGGAGGATTTATCATGGTGCTTTTCCAATGGAATTTGCTTATGGAATACAAAAAGGAACAAAAAGGCAAAATTTCCTCATGTATCTCCCTGGGGCAACAATATTTTGAGGTTTTAGTATGCAGTTAATTTTTAGTCCTTTTTGCCTGAATTTATCATTAGATCTTGACTGTCAGTTGGATTTAGAACATGCCACTTTTTTGCATGAAATATGCCTTGTTTTTCGTGCTTAGATCATTTAGCTTAGTAAAGCAGTTTTTTAAATCCAAATAGAGACTTTGGGTAAAAAGCATGAGCTGACAAACTGGATTTTAAACATGAGATGTGCTGACTGGATGATTGTTGGTTTTCTTCATGTTTTTTTCTCACTTCAAAATGTCTTCCCTTTCTTCCCCACCCAGTTAATACACTGTTAAACGTGAAATTAAGTGAAACAGAAAATGGCAAGCTCGTGTCTATATTGGATCTACCTGGCAATGTTCTTATCATTCCTCAAGCCACTCTTGGAGGGAGAGTAAAAGGAAGAAATATGCAGTATCACTCTAACTCTGGAAAAGAAGAAGGGTTAGAACTTTATTCCCAATTTGTGACTCTGTGTGAAAAAGAATTAGCTGCTAACAGCAAGTGTGCTGAAGCTGGGGTTGTGGTAGAACATGGTACTTACGGAAACAGGCAGGTGTTGAAGCTGGACACCAATGGACCATACACACACCTCATTGAGTTTTGAAAAATTACGTTAGTTCCTACAGTTGTTTTCTGGCATAAAATGATCTTGACAGTAATTAGATTTTCCTCCCCTTCTTGAATATACTAATCTGCAGCATTTTTAGACAAAAAAATCCTGGGTCTCACCCATAACTCTGCAGTCTGCTATTCAGCAACCTTGCCAAGTCACCAAACTCTGGATCTCAGTCACCTTTCGTTCTGCTTTCCTCTACACTTCCACTTGAAAGCTTGAAAAATGCTTTCTATTCACTTCATAGTCATTGTGGAAATGTTCTTAGCTGCATTTAAGTAGTTTGCAGTGAAGAATATTGTGCAATAACAATATATTTCTTCTATCCTCAAATGTATGTAATGTGTAATAAAAATAACTCTATTAAAATTAGGTAAAATTTCACACAAACTAATTACAATTTTGTCAGTCTGGTTTACTATTTCAGTTTTCTGTATTTTGAACAAAATCATATGTTATCGACTATTCCTTTTAATAATAATATCTATGAAAATGTAATATAGAAATGTTATTGTGCATTATGTTACTTTCCAAGGACATCTAAGTGCTTTAAATCATTTTAAGAATCTTTAGTTGAGGGGCGCCTGGGTGGCTTAGTCGGTTAAGCGTCCGACTTTCGCTTAGGTCATGATCTCGCGGTTCGTGGGTTCGAGCCCCGCATCGGGCTCTGTGCTGACTGCCAGCTCGGAGCCTGGAGCCTGTTTCAGTCTGTGACTCCCTCTCTCTCTGACCCTCCCCTGCTCACGCTGTCTCTCTCTCTCTTTCCTAGAAATAAATAAAACATTAAAAAAAATTTTTTTTTAAAAAAAAGAATCTTTAGTTGATACAAAAACAAAGTATGAAGTTTAAAAATTGTTTTTATTTAACATACCAATGGGTTAATACTTCTGTTTCTCAGTTTTTTACTAAAATAATGTATGTCTCACATTCTGCCTTTGGTTTTTAAAAGTTACTGCTTTGTGAAATTAATGTTCATAAGTTTCTTAGGAAGTCCTTTCTTATGTAATTAGATTGCTGTAAAAGAAAGAAAGAGAAAAAGGGAAGCTTTCTACCAACATTATTTGGAAACAAGTCGACTTGTTCTTTTCCATATTGTTTACCTAACGATTTGGAGCCACCGTCATTTTTTCTGTTAGTGAATGTTTGTGCCCTTCACTCCCCATTCATATGTTGAAGCCCCCAACATGATGGTATTTGAAGATGGGGCTTTGGTAAGTAATTAGGGTTAATAAGGTGGTAAGAGTGAGTCCCTCATGATGGGATTAGTGTCTTCATAAGAGTCACCAGAGAGCTTGCTTGCTTGCTCTCTGTGCTCCCACTGTGTGAGGATGCAGTGAGAAAGTGGGGGCTACCTGCAAGTGATCAAAAGAACCCTTACCAGAAACTGATTATGTTGATACCTTGATATTCAACTTGTAGTCTTCAGAACTGTGAGAAAATAAATATCTGTTGTTCAAGCCACTCAGTCTATGGTATTTTGTTAGGACATGAGCTGACAAAGATAGTGATAAAAGATAGGCAATAAGGTAGATTTTTCACAAAATCTCAAAATATATATTTTGATATATAAAAAACTCAAAGAATAAATGGATCAATAAAATATAATACTCAGTTTTTGCAAATGCCTCTGACTTCATCTAAAAAGATATTTTAAAGAGTAAACACCAAATAATATTTCTAATTACCAAAAGATGAAGAAATTAAGTTGAATAAACATCTGAAGTAGCTGCTGAAGATTCCTTTGTGTAATAATTTCTTTAGGTCTGTCTTCCTAAGATACTTAAAATTTTTGTTATTACAAAAAACCTGTTTCTCTATATCCTTCCTGTACTATTCTATTTTGGAACTTGAAAATCAATAACTGGCTTGGTAATGAGCTCATTGTCCTTAACTTTTGCTTTATTGATTCATGATACACTTATTGAAATGTAATAAACTATTCATAAACTTTTGAACTCTTAATTTTCTCAAAGCTTCTCCAAGGAGGTGTATATGTCTTTTGAAAAATTATGTTACCTATTTTAAATCATTTTGATTTTGTGTGTAGGTGAAATGCTGACTCATAGCTCTTGATTGCTATTTTATAGTTCAGGCAGTTTTTTAGAAAATTTGCTTGAGGTACTCATGGAGAAGAGCAATTTCAACTACATAAAGGTTTGTTAAGCAGAAAGTGGTGACCAACTTTCATTTCCAGGAGGCTGGAACAGGAGAGTAAAGGCAGAAGAAATATTGAATATAAAAGTAACTACACGCTGGCTTTCTGTAGCTCTTCTGGCCCAAGGTATTCAAAGAACCTTCAATAGGTACCTCCTTTTATCTTCCCAGTATATAATGAGGATAGTGCTGTAGAAAGTAAGACAGTGCTTAAATAATTTTTCCCAAGTTCACACAATAGGGGGAATAACTTCCATCATCCTAACTTCCTATAGTGAGATTTATTAAGAACTGAAATTGATAAAGTATTAACATCTCCCAGTGTGGAACACTTGAGAAAGAACAGCCAGTAAATTGGTTCACTTACTAAATCTGATGGTGGCAGAGTTGCACCTAATTTACATGGCTTCTGCCTGCTTTTTAAGATTCTAGAGTGTCTCAGAATTTCATTTCTCAGTATTATTTTATGTGTCCACTTAGAAACGTCGTAGGGTCAGTTATAGAAAATACTGTATATAAGACAGATGAACAATGAGTGAGGTTTTAATATCTTACATATACAAAGTAAAATCAAGCACATTAAAAAAAAAGGCATGCCATTTATGAATCACGTCTGTATTGATGATTTATTGACTCCATAATGAAAGAACTGAACTTACCAAATACAAGGATTAAATACAGAAGCGTCCTACACCACTTGTTTTGGAGAATAAGAATTCATATTGGTGTTTTGAGACTAACAGTGACCCGGGGCTCCTGAGGGTTCAGCCGGTTAAGCATCTGACTTTGACTCTGGCGGGTCATGCTTTCATGGTTCTCAAGTTTGAGCCCCACATCAGGCTCTCTGCTTCAGATGCTCCATACCCCTCTCTGCCTCTTTCTTTCTGCTCACCCCCTGCTTATGCGTGTGCAAACGCACACTCTCTCTCAAAAATAAACAAACATTAAAAAAAAAAAAAGATAACATGACCTATCCTTTTACTATCTATGGTTAATGTTACAGAAGGCTCAACTTGTTATACTTAAATTTATTAGTAAGTTTAATCATTCCCAAACTTACTGAAATAAAAAAAAATCTAGAAATGCCTTACCTATTAATTTATTGAAATACTAGTTTCTGAAAGGAAAGGTCCACGAGAAAAGTAACCTTTCATTCAGAAGCCACACGTTGGTGACAACTTTAAATGTTTGATAGAATTCCTTTCCTCCTCTTTCTCCTGGCTCAAATCCTTTCTTGCAGCCCATCTTCCAAGCTAATGATCCTAGAGCATTCTTTTCTCCATAATATTTCACAGTTTCAGAAATTTATTTAATGTTTATTTATTTTTGAGAGAGAGAGAGACAAAGTGTGAGCAGAGAAGTGTCAGAGAGACAGAGACACAGAATCCAAAGCCGGCTCCAGGCTCCGAGCTGTCAGCACAGAGCCCAACACAGGGCTTGAACTCACGAACCATGAGATCATGACTTGAGTGGAAATCAATGCTTAACTGCCACCCAGGTGCCCCCAGAAACTTTTTTGTTGTTTATTTTAACCCCCGGATAGTTAACATACAATGTTCTATTGCCTTTCAGAATCTTTTATAACCTTTTATCTCCAGGTCAAAGTTTAAACTTCTGAAGCTGGAATGTTCTCCATACTTGAAAGGGGTGAATGAAATTATGCAAGGAGAACTGTAGAAAGGATCAATGTTGAAATCTTGGGAAAAGATAAAGAGCAAACAAATAAGAGGGTAGAAGACACTATAGAGATCAGGAATGCAGAGAGAAGCCCAAAGATGTTAACAGATAACATTTTCAAGATGTAAACAGTGACAAAGTCGGTACTACACACTAAAAAATTGGATGATGTGAAGACTGAGGAAAGACCTCTAGGCCTTGCAGTTAGATGTTTTCAGTTTTCTGGGAAATTGGAGTAAATCTTACAAGAGTTAGTAGAAGTAGAAAAAGATTCTTAAACTTTCGTTCTTGGGCAGTGGTCCTGTGGTCCAGGAATTACCTAGAGCCTACTATTTTAACAAAATGCAGTTCTCTAGGACCATCCCAAACTTGCTGAATTAGACTCTTAGGAGTTGGAATCTGTCCCCCAGGGGATTCTTGTGTACCCTGGAATCGCAGAGCCACCATTGCTCAGAGTGAAGCCCAGACTTCCAAGGCTGTTCTCACAGGTTTATACTCTGGCTCCAGCTTGACCTTCTAACCCTTTCTCCCACGACTCCCAATAGACATTTTCCAGTGTAACTCTGTATTTTCCTTAGACCTTGCTCATACCTAAGTTGCCCTCTGCTCTCCTAAATCCATCATCATTCAATATTTAGCTCAAGGCAATCTCTTCTGACCCCAGAGTAATTTGCCTTGCCTCTACCTTCCTCAGCATTGTGGTTGTCTCATTCTTAACTCTTGAGATGTGTCTTAAGAGATTGAGTACTTTGGCTTTAAATTTTTTATGTTTCACGTATTTTAACTGCAAGAGTATAAATAACATTGGGCAGGGACAGTATAATAGTAAGCACACATAATACAGTATCATTTTTTAAAAATCCCACTGTATTTCCACAGCACTGTGTATGTTGCGCATGCTCATGATTCTCAGTAAATATTATCTAAATTAACATGAAGATATGTCAGTGGCCAGAATACCCTTGATTTTGGATCAGTAATACCAGTGCTTCATACATAGATTTATTTGCGACTGAGGTATAAAAAGAGGTTGGAATGTATAGAAAGCAAGTTTAATATAGCTACGCCTTGCTTCAATACAATAGATAACCCCTTGAGAAAAGTTAGAGACAAACTAAAACAGATTGAGATTCAGTAAAATTATGAGCATTGCTGTTTCTATTTTATTACTTTATTACATCAGAGTGGTGGCTTTATGTTTTCTTAAGGTTCTCTCTTTATATATATAGTGTAAATATTTACATAATACCCTGTGTCTAAAAAAGGTTTGCAAAAAGCAAGCGTGTCTAAAAATACAGAAGTAGAAACTATTTCATAAGAAAACCTGTATTTGAGTCCTCTGTAAAACAAACTTATTGTGAAGCAAATAAAAATGTCTTTATTTATAAATATGAATTTCAAAGCATCAAGCTGTATTAAGACCCTTCTATATTCCAAAATAAAGCAGTTCTGTGGGATACATCACAAATAGCCAACTTCATGATTAATATGACCCTAATTCTTTTTATTGGACTTTTCCATAGAAATTAATTCTTTTGCACTGGGTTAGCCAGCATTTTTTTCTCTTAAGAAGCTTAATAAAGTTTGACCTATTACATCAGCTTTTCTTCCGAATGCGAGAAGAATTTATGTAGAGAATGCACCACACCCTATGTAACCGTATCTGAGAACCATTAGCTATAAACAGTTGGGGTTGGCAAAGTAATTGTGGAGTTTTTTTGGGGAGGGGGAGTCAG